ACTTGGGAGGTGGAACAGGAAGATCAGAAGTTCAAGATCATCTTTGGCTGCATTGTTCTGGTGGGGGGGGGTCTGTGGTGGGGGGAAGAAGGTAGAAAGAATGAGAAGGAAGAGAAAGCTGAAGCAAAGATGGGTACTGAGTGGAGGGAGGTATTTGATTTGATTTGTTTGTTTGTTCCGAGACAGGGTTTCTCTGTGTAGCTCTGGCTGTCCTGGAAATCTTTCTGTGGCCCACACTGGCCTCGAACTCACAGAGATCCTACCTGCCTCTGCCTCCCAAGTGTTGGGAGTAAAGGCGTGCGCCACCACCGCCTGGCTGGTATTTGATTTTGTTATGTGAGATGCAGATGGGTGAAGAGGTCAAAGTCAGGCCTGAGAGAGACTGGGGACAACTGACAGAATCCTCCTGGGGAGCGGGGAGCAGTCTCTGAGTAAGGACAGTCATTTATTCTTCCAGAGAAGATGAAGGAAATCAAAAAGTTTGTGGTGATGAATGAGATGTGTACTTTGTCCCCAGCTGGCGGCACTGTTTGGAAAGACTCTGGGTATGGTCTTGTTGGAGAAAGTATGTCACTGGAGGCAGGCTTTAAGAGTTTAAAGCCTGGTGTCATTTCAAATTTGCTCTCTCTGCTTACTACTGTCAGTTCAAGATGTGAGCTCCCAGCTCCGGCCCCAGCCACCAAGTCTGCTGTTTCCTGTTCCATTTCTCTACCATGGTGGACTCTCATCCCTCTAGAACCATAAGTCAATTAAACCCTTTTATAAGTTGCTTTGGTCATGGTGTTTTACCACAGGAACAGAAAAGTAACCAAAACAAAGTTAGGGCAGCGATTCTACATTAGAACTATTACTAAGGTAACTTTAAAAAAATACCCATAGTGTTTTTTTCCAAGGACAACACCTTGGAAGTTTCTGGTTTAATCAGTATGGGATTAGTCCTGGGCATTGCTATATTTTCAAAGTTTCACATGAGATTATAATCTATGATGAAGGTTTGAGAATCACTGGTTTAATTTGTAGGTAACTTTTTAGATTAGTGATAATGGAATTGGATTCAAGGAAACTCACAATTAAGAAGAGCTGAACGAGTAGAGAGCCAGAAAAGTTCGAGACAGATAAAAACGGGGAAAAGAAAGATGTTTGAAAGGAAGGGAATGGACAGTAACCTAGTGGATTTTACACTCCAGGGTCTAGAAATGATGCAGCTCTGTTCTCCTCCCCTTCCCTCCTCTCCTTCTTCTGTTTTTGTTTTGTTTTGTTTGAGACTGAATTTCACCTTGTAGCCCTGGTTTACCAGGAACTCCCTAAGCAGACTGGGCTAATTCCTGGTAGAGATGAGAGGCTAACTCACAGAGATCTACTGGAGCTAACAGTGTGTCCTGGCACATTCCAGGGGACTCCTCCTTCTCCTTTCTCCCTCTCCCTCTCCCTCCCCCTCCCCCTCCCCCTCCCCCTCCCCCTTCTTCTTCTTCTTCTTCTTCTTCTTCTTCTTCTTCTTCTTCTTCTTCTTCTTCTTCTTCTTCTTCTTCTTCTTTTTCTTGCCTTGAAACGTCTCAATCCTTTTGCTTCTGCTTCTGGAACACTGAGTGTGTTATCACTCAGGTTTACAAAGACTTTTGTCAGAATTGAGACAGCCCTTCCAGGAAGATGGTCAAGGGCTAGGAGGAGCTCTATCTTACCCCTAGATTTATCTATAGAACAGTAAGAAGATGGAGGCTGTGGTCTGGCCTGTGGGTACCTTATTGTAGTCACCAAACCTGATAAGTACGTGAACATTTCTAGTCAGTCACATTGAAACAATTGGTGTTCCCAGCACTTAATGGCGGCCCATAACTGCCTATAGCTCTAGTTACAGGGATCTGACACCTTCTTCTGGCCTCCTTGAGCATCAAGCACACATCAGGCATACATGTAGACAGAACACACATGCACAAAAAATAAAAATAATAAATCTTTTTTTAAAAGAGCAATACTGTTAAAAAAAAAGTCCTACCTTCCATTAAAGCAGAAGACCTAGTCTTTATCATGAGAGCAAGGACTAATATCCAGGGACAGCTCTTTTTGTTGTTTGTTTTTGTTTTTCAAGACAGGGTTTCTCTGTGTAGACTTGGCTGTCCTGGAACTTGCTCTGTAGACCAGGCTGGCCTAGAACTCAGAAAGATCCACCTGCCTCTGCCTCCCGAGTGCTGGCCAGGGACAGCTTTACTGACACAGGAAGCAGGCACGCATTTTTCTACAGCCTGGACTGTCCTCCTGAAGAAAAGCTATTCTCACTTCTTGAATCTTCCCTGAAAGTCAAAACCTTCCAGGGTTTCTGAGACATAGGATGACTGCTTGCTCCATCCCTGCTGCCCACAACCATGGGCTGGCAAGGAATTAAAAGAACTTTTACTGAAGGCCTTGACTTTGGACTAGGAATTGCCTTCCCTGAAAAAGAATCCTGAAAGAACCAGGGGTGCCCTAGGCATGGAACAAGGAGGCTTGACTGGGAATTGGCTGGGGCCTTGTGGATCTATGGAGGGGGCTCCTTCTGTTACCTCATTAGTACCTTTTACATGAATAGAATTGAGGTTTAAATAAATAAGTTATCTGTGCATTCAACATCCAAGAATGGTAAGCCAGACCTGGTGGTATTTGGGAGGCTGAGACAGGAGGGTTTTTAATTCCAAGCCAGCCTGACTACATAAAGAGACCCAGACTATATAATGAAACACACACACACACACACCCTCAAAGTCTAATTGTCCCACCATGTGGTCCTTCAGGTTTCTGGTCTCCCATTTTCCAGCCCCGCTCTGCTTCTGCAGGTCGTCCTCCTCAGGAAAATTGTCTCTTGCCTCATAGATCTTCGTCCTAAAGAATTAGGCTAAGTCCTTCAGACCCTGAATGAATGATCCTTGTCGTTGGATCTTGGCTTCCACTCTGAGTTGAGGATGTGTGAAATGCATTCTACAGGTGAGAGAGGAGGGTTGTTTGGAGGGCTGTCGGATAGGACACACTAGAACAATTACATTCACTATCGGAGAGCTCTGTAAGACAGTATTGTCACTGCAGATGTAATTTCTCAATTGCGTCTCCCCCTCAGCGGAGAGACAGGAAGAACTGAGTGTATTCCAGGCTCTCGCCTCCCAGGCAGTAATCCTAAAGTCTCGTGTATTGACATGACATTTTGACTTACATTTCAAGCTTTAGCTGGGGCCAGTCTACAACATCATCTGTAATTCTGACGTCAGAAACTCGTTTCCAATTCTTTGGGGTTCCTTCTAAGGTCCGGGAAATAAGCTGGCAGAGCATGGATATAATATACACTAAACATAACAGAGAGCCTGCTGTGAAGCGGCAACCCCAAACACTGTCCAATTATAAACTTGTGTTCAACATTGGAGGTGTGCTTTGGACAGGGCGGGGGATTCTGATGTCTTTCCGATCTCCTTTTTCTATGTCCTGCTCTCCTGCCACGGTTCCTTAAATTCCTGGTGTTATGGGACCTCCTCAGAGCAGCCCAGTGCCCGGCACATGATAGAAGTAGGTGAATGACGGCCAATGGGCTTTAGCAGACTGTGGCACTTGAAACGATGCCTGTTTCATGAAGTCTTGGTGCTAAATTCTTTGCTAACCCATAAAGGGGGAACAGTGGCTGAGGAAAAAGCAAGGGTCTGGGCAAGGTAGATGAGAAGCGTTTGTTTAGACTCTTCACCTTTGAACAGTCATAACTCAGACAAAGACAATCTGTTCTCATTTGGGGACGGGTTAGAATGCAGAGCAGAGACGAGGCAGTTGGAGGAAAAGACTCCATCAGAGAAAGGAACGGAGGCTGGGAGTCGCCTTCTCTGGGCTTTCTTAATCACAGGGTTGGGAGGGCAGGTATCAGAATTGAAAGGTGGAGATGGTGGGGGTGTTGAGACGTGTGTGAAGATGCTTTTGAAGCGGTACTGCTCTAGGTAAGTGGCAGGTTACAGGGTAAATAATACTAGCGGCAATATAATAATACTTTTGCTTTCGCTCAACTCGGAGGGCAACCTGGCCTTCCCACAGCCACTTTACGGTGGGCTCTCCCCTGTTGGGTTCTTTCCCGCTTTAGGAACTCTTAACTGGTTTGTTTCTTAGTGTGCTCTGAAGTGGGAATGCCTTAAATGTGCCAGATATTTCGTGCTAACCTGGAGCCTACCCGCAACGCTCAACTACCCAAAAGTCCTAGGGTGGAGAGCTAGGAGCTCCGCACCGACCCAGGCATTTTTCACTCTAGGCTTCCTGGGAGAAGGCCCCCTTCTCCTCCGCCTCCCCAAGTCCCGGGCCCTCGTCGTCGCCGCCTCCCCCTCCCCCGTTCCCGTAGGGCAGGATTCCCTTTGTAATTAATCCCAACACTCAAACCAGAGGGGAGGAAAACGTGTTAATGAGCGAGCGTCCCAGTCTGACGAGGCGGTCGTCGCTCACAGCTAGAACATCGAGTAATTAAATTATTTTTGGAAGAAGGGGGGTATGGTGGCGATGGTGTCAGGGAAATTCCGTATACATGGGAGAGGGGCCTGTCTCTTGTCACTAATTAAAATCAGGGATGACCCTTTTCGCAGCTCTGGTCCGAGGGGGATCAATCTTCCCACGTCTCAGATTCCATTGGATTTTGTGTGGCCGGGTTTATGGTCCCAAAGAGGAGAATATGGCCAGCATCAGGGCCTAGGGGAAAGGTCTTCAACGGGGGGGTGGAAGAAGACAGCTCCAAGAGGGGCTGCGGGCTGGACCAAAGCCAAGAACCGAGGCAGCATCAAGCCCACCTTCCCGGCCAGGTCCGCAAACCCGGAGCGGATTCCCAGGATCCCGAGGGCGCAGGGCATGGCCAGGCGCAGAGCTGGGGGTGCCGCGACTTGGGGAAGAGCCGGGCCGCAGACAATGGACGCAGCGGCGGGAGGGGCGGCGGCTGCGGGAACAGCCGGGAGGCGGCACCTGGGAGCGCGCTCCCCGCCCCCTGCCCCCCTCCGGTCCCCTCCCCCTCTGTCCCCTCCCCCTCCGCCGCCGGCTCGGGATCTGATTCCTGATCCCCGATTGCTTGGTCCTCGGTCCCGCCATGGGAGCCTGAGCGCCCTGCAGTCCCCCCCCCGGCCCCTTGCCCCCGGGGCCTCGAGGGGGAAAGAGGCGAGTGGTCTGGGACCGAGCCGGGGTGAGCGACCTCCGGAGCCCCCCTCGACAACCCCCATCGGCCGCGCTGCCGGTCCTGGAGCGCGGAGTTCGGAGCGACCCGGTGCGCTGCGGATACAAAGGCGCGGAGCGGAGCGGGGCGTGCGCCCAGTCCACCCGGCTGTTCGCAGCGGCGGGTGAGTGGCGGGCCGCGGGGGCGCGGGCAAAGTTTGCAGAAAAAGAAAAAAAAAAACAAAAAAAAAGGGAAAGAAAGCAGCAGAAAAAAGAAGGAAATCATGTAAAGGATCAGGGAGCGCCCGGCCCTGGAGAAAGCGGGGTGGCTTCTGGGGGGAAAGGGGGGCTTGAGGCAACCCCCTTCCGGTCTCTTCTCCACTGAACAACCGAGTACCCCCAACTTTGGGGAGGGGAAGGGGCGCGTGGGGAAGGGGCGGAGCCCAGGCCTTAAGAGCCGGGGACTTTCCTGGGCCGGGGGCCCGGGTTGGGCGCTTGAACGATCCCAAGGGAGCCCATTGAAGCCGGGGATTGGGAAACGTGTGTTGGAGGTGGTGGGAGAGGCCGTGGAAGGATCGGAGGCTGGAGGTATTGGAAGCTGAAGGTACGTAGGGATGCATACACACCTTTGAAGTGTGGGGAGGGAAGGGGCAGGTCTACGTTCCGGGTGTAGAGTGGATCCCTGAGAGATGGCCCTGGACAGCAGTGTGTGTGTGTGTGTGTGTGTGTGTGTGTGTGTGTGTGTGTGTGTGTGTGTGTGTGTGTGTGTGTGTGTGTGTGTGTGTGTGTGTGTGTAGCCCAAGGATGGGACTTGCGGTATACCGGGGAATGTGTGTCGGGGTGGGTGGGGGAGACTACATCATCTCTTTCCCTCGTCCTATTTACTCACCGAAGGTCTTGAACACTGCATTAGTGAGTTTTAAAGGGTTGTTTGGGGGATCAGTATACATGATTCTTTGTTTTTGTGTGTGTGTGCACGCCTTGATGGTGCTGCGTGTTCCTGCAGGTGGGCCCTGGTTTTGGATGTGTAGATGTCTCTCTCTCTCTCTCTCTCTCTCTCTGGTGTGTGTGTGTGTGTGTGTGTGTGTGTGTGTGTGTGTGTGTGTGTGTGAGAGAGAGAGAGAGAGAGAGAGAGAGAGAGAGAGAGAGAGAGAGAGAGCGAGCGAGAGAGCGCGAGCGAGCGCCAGTTGGGTTTGGGTATGTATTTGTGTGTATACTCTAGGGAAGGGGTGTGTATCTGTGTGTGTATCTGCTGAGAGAGGGGCCTATAGGAAAGAGGTGGGTAGGTATTAGAGAAGGTGGGTTATGAGAGGAGAATGGATGGTATATGTGGATAGGTGTATGTGCACCTGTGTGGTGGGAAGGGGTGTATGTGTGTGTGTGTGTGTGTGTGTGTGTGTGTGTGTGTGTGTGTGAATCTGTGCTCTTATGAGTAACCTGTACCGATGGGTAGACATCAGTGTGTGCCTGCCTTTGCTAGGGTGGGTATTTTTGAGTGTATATTGGGGGCACCTCTTGTCTCTGCAGGCAGATTTTCCTGGCAGAAAGCCCACAGGGAAGGTTGTCTGCAGGATTTGAATGGCCCTGCCTGGATTCAAGGGTAGTGTCTTGAGTATCTGAGACCCTAATGGGGATTGTGCATTTGGGGGGTAATGAGTTGTCCTAGGTGGTGCGTATTTGGGAAGATGGACTTTTCTGGACGACTGTGTGGATTGTGGGGGAATGGGGAATAAGTTCAGGGGAGGTGGAGGGGCTCTGTAGTCCTGAATTTTGGGGTTCAAGGACACAAATAAGAGGCGTGACCTTCCCCACTGTTCTGGGGTGGGCCTTAGTGCTCTTTGAGGCCACTTGCTTGGCTGCTGTGCCCCAATTACTTTCTCTGAGGCCACAGCTCTCTTGGAAAGCCATCTTGAAGGTGGCTACTTCAGAGCCCTCCAACTCTGCTCTGCCGCTAGGATCCAGAGGAGTGTGGTCTGGAGGCGAGAAGAAGCATGCCCAGAAGAGGCACGAGACCTGGTAGAGAGCCGCAGGACTGAGAAAGTGACATGGGGTGTTTCTCTGGGAGTTTCTGCAAGTGTGTCCGAGTAGTTTACCCTGCAGTTTCTTGATGAGAAGCACTGTGTGTGTGTGTGTGTGTGTGTACATGTTTGTGTGTGTGTGTGTGTGTGTGAATGTGAGTTCATATGTGTATGTGTGCTTGTGTTCAAGGGTGTGTTGTGTTTCTCTGTGAATGTGTCTATGTGTGAGTCCATGTGCACATGTGCTTATGTTCAAGTGTGTGTGTTTCTGTGTGTGTGTGTTTGCGTGTGCGCATATTGGCGCTGAGCTTGCCAGGGGCCAGATGTCCATCTGGTGGGAAGGGTCTGTGTTCATCATCATGAGAGTGGGTGGGAAGTCAGAGACCATGATGAAGACATCTCTTCCTCCCTGAGAAGTAGCAGCTACCTCCTTTCTCCCTTTGCTCTTGTTCATTCTCTTTTGGGTTGAAGCTTTAGAAATGGGTGGTCATCTCCTCTGGGACCCCAGTCTTGTTCCTAGATGCCTGTTCTCGACCATTTTCCTCTTGCTGCCAGAGGTTAGTTAGGTGGAGACACGGGTTTTAAGATAGGGACTGTAGTTGCACGTGCCCATTAGAGTCCTTGGGTAATTGCAACTGGAATGTCGGTCTCTAATGGGCATGTGCAGTTGGAATGTTCCATCTTTAGCTCTCAGGGCTCCCTACCCTCCATAAAGCCCGGGGAAAGAGTGGAGAGGTTTAGAGAATGTGACCCTAGGATGAGGAGCAGGCTAGGAAGAGACTAGATGTCTTTCCCCAGCAGTGCTCCATTCCTTTAAACCGGCCGCCCATCAGATGGTTTCTCCCAAACCTGTAGTGTCCTGGCTTTCAGGCTACCTTTGGCTCAGCTGATGCTCCCTACCAGTAGGAGTTGTCCTCCAAGCAGGAGGACTTGTGGTTAGACAATAGGAAGTGCCATTTCAGAAAGTACTTCCAGACTGGGGACCAGTGACCACACGGGCCCCTCCTTCTCTATTGTCTTGGTCCTGCTTTCTGCTTTCTCTGATTCCCACAGGGCTGCCTTCCTTTCTGTCTCTTCTCTGCTCCCTCACCTTCTTGTAGGACTTGAAGAGCCCCCTTTTCCATGGCCCTTCATTCCCTCTGAGCCTTAGGGACTCCAGCTTTCTCTTTTGCTGGCTCCCACACCGTGAGGGCAAAAGGAAGAGTCAGACGGATTCACTCAGTGCTAAGAGCAGTGTGACCTGATGCATGTAACTGACCTTCATTCCTTAGCCTCCTGGGTGTTTTAAGACACCATCTATCAAGCCCACTTTGAACCCATCCACAAGGAATCCCAAGGCCCCCTCCCGGCACTGTAACCTCTCCCTTGTTGACAGTTTGCGTTTAACTTCTGGCTTTGCCACATCCTAATTCTGTGACCTCAGTCCTAATTCTGTGACCTCAGACAAAACGGAGAACTTTGGTAAGCCTCACCTGTTACATGGGGTTGATGATAATACCACGTCTTAGGTTTATGAGAACCCAGTGAAATAACCTGGAAAGAGTGTGTTCCTCAGTGCCTGGCACAGGGGGAAATGACTTAGCAAATCCTGCCTGGCGTGGTGTGGATTTTAATCCACGGATGTAGTAAGGGATGGAGGTCTGGGCAGTAGGGCAGGGGAGTGAGCCTACTTTGTGCTCTCCTCTGGCAGATCACATCAGCACAGTCCACTTTCTGCCAGGTGTTATGAGAACCACGGGGGATGGAAGGGTGAAGAAGACACTGTTCACAGGGGAAACGTGCTTGAACACGTCGGTCCCCGTAAGCCCCTGAGTGCCGGATGGAGGTGTATTCTGGAGGCCTTTGCAGCGTGGAGTTTGGTTCTGAGGAGGAGTATTGGGCAAGGTTCCCAAAGGAGATGTGTTGGCCACTGGAGTTTTGGAAGTTAGCATGAGATGAACATTAAAGAGAATGGAATTTACTGCACACACACACACACACACACACACACACACACACACTACTATGCAACCATTTCTGTCCAGTTGTGGAACATTTTCACTAGCCCTGAAAGACACTTTAAGCTGTAGTTCCCAATGCCCTCTTGTTCATCCCTTGGCCCACGCCCAAGCTGCATTCTGTCTCTGTGGAGTTACCCATTCGGGCTATTTCCTCTAAATGTCATCGTTTTATGTCCAGCTTTCTCCGTTCAGCACATTTGCAAGGCTTATTCATGTGGCAGCATGTATGTACATCATCCCTTTTGATGGCTTAGTAATATTCTACTACATGCATATTCCTTAGATGATCCCCTTTCTTTCTTCCTCCCTCCCTCCCTCCCTCCCTCCCTCCCTCCCCCTCCCTCCCCCTCTCTCTCTCTTTCTTTCTTTCTATCATCTATCCATCTATCTATCCATCCATCCATCTATCTATCCATCCATCCATCCATCCATCCATCCATCCATCCATCCATCCATCCATCTATCTATCTATTTTGAGGCATGGTCTTGCTTTTTAAAGTCTTTGGCTGGCCTGGATCTGCCTGCCTCTCCAGCTCCTGGGTGCAGGGATTAAAGGCCTGTGCCATTACGCCTGGTCCTTCTTAGCCATTTTTAAAGGATAGAAGACAGGGAGAGAACTGAGGAAGGGTTTGCTGATAGAGGCTGAGCATGAGCAAGAAGGACTGTGGGGTGTTTGGTACTGCTGGCTCTTGAAGTCCGGCGTGAGGATTTGGTCTCAGTTTCCCTAGCTATAAAACAACATTAATGATTGCTTTCCTCCCTTGTCCTGTGGTGTTAGTTGGTAGAAGTGACTGCATCAGGGAGAGACTGGGATAGTGCTGTCTCTTCTCAGATTTTTTTTTTTTAACCCACCCTTTCCTCCTCTCTCCTCGAAGCTTGCACCTGTGTGCCTCTGCCCTCATCCCTGTGCGAGTTCGTCTTCCTGCTTTGCCTCCAATCAACTTCCTCTCTCTCTGAGTTGACCTGAAACCTCTCACCCTCTGCAGGTGGGTAGTCCTGTGCTCCGTGTGATTTTGATAGCAGAGGTGCAGATGGACTCTGTCTACCTGTTTGGTCTTTGACAGCTGTCTGTCACCTTCTCGGCTGTGATCTGGACAGAGCTGCCGTGGGCCATGCAGGAGCTTTTCATCTCTCCCCGCTCCCCCAGCTTGGTACAGAGTGGGAGGCAGAGGCTTCTGTGGTGGGGCCCTTTGGAAATGAGCTGTTGCGGTGCCAGTCTGATGCCCCTGGCAAGGTTAGTAATTACAGACAAGACAGCTGGGAAGGGGTTTGGGAGACGCAAGTTTGGAATCAGCAGCACTGGGACTATCCTGGTAATCAGGGTGGGGCCCTGAGAGGGGAGAGTGGGCAGTAGCTGGGGGCTGGGGTGGGGCAGGAGGCTTGGGGCCTCCTTCCTCTGCCCATCGATGAGTAGTTAGGATGAGAGCCTGGAGAAGAGTGGGAAGCCATTGGATCCTAGGCCTGACCTCACTGAGGTCGAGGGAGGAGGGGAAGGGAGAAGCTAGGGGACCCAAGAGCTCCCGAGGGAATGGATCACTGTGTGATTAATTTCTGGCTGAGGCCCATGTTGGGGAGGAACCACCTCTGCACCCAAAGATGATTCCTCCTTATTCTGAGTGGAAGCTACCTTTTAATAATGAGGCTAGAAGAAAGAAGTAGAAGGATTGACCTGCAGTACCTAAAAGAGTTGGGAAACCAACATTTCACTAAGCATCAGTTTCTGTCTGTCTGTCTATCTATCTATCTATCTATCTATCTATCTATCTATCTATCTATCTATTTTTTTAAGGGTCTCACTGTGTGGCCCTGATGGGCCTGGAACTGTGTGGTAGCCCAGGCTGGCCTCAAACTCACAGAGATCTGCCTGCCTCTGCCTCCCGAGTGCTGGGATCGCAAATGCGTGTGGACATTACACCCAGCCTTATTGAGCATCTTGTATGTTAACAGCTTCTGTGACTCACTAGATACATTATATAGAAAACTATCGTGCCCATTTTACAGACAGGAAAATAAGCTTAGAGAAGGCAAGGAGGTCTTCAAGATGGCGTAGCTCCTGAAGGCTGTGCTTGATCTCTGTGATTTCTTTGCTCTTTGGTCTTCTTGTTCCCAGAGTGCTCTTGTCGTCTGTCCGTCCATGCTGTCGTCCCGATTCTATCCGATTGCTCGTTCTTGGCTTTAGTTCTTGAATGTGACTAATTCCTCTTCCCCCTTGGAAAGCCAGCTCGAGTCCATGTAGCCTGATGAGTGGAGACATCCTCTAAGGACGAGAAGCAGATGGGGTCTAAGGGAGAAACCCAGTCTTTGCCCAGGAGGGCCCCTCATTGTCTAAGCCACGGCGGGGCTCCTGTTGGAGCTGGAGCGCTTCCTGTCTGTGTGGAGTGGGAGCTGCAGCAAAGAGACTAAGCTCATGGAGTCGTGTGTGGAGAGGGGCCTTGGCCGTCACTGCCCGAGGATTTTCCCACAGTCGTGACTGTAGCACTTCAAGTCCTACTGTCACCGGTGCCTGGCTCCCCAGGCCTGGACAGAAGACAAGAGGGGGTTTGTGAATGGGGGCTCTGGCTTTTTAGGATAAGGGAGGAGGTCAGACAGAAACAGGTGCCCAGCCTGAGGTGTGATGTGGTAACTCAAAAAACAGCCAAGTGTGAACAGAAACACATATTTTTGTCGCCTGCTTTACCCCAGGAATGGAAGTGGTAGATAGAAGGATGGGGGAGTTGATAATCTGCAGAAAGAGTGAGAATCTCGGTCGGTCGGGTGAGGGAGGTGGGTGTTGTCAGGAGGGCGGAGGCTGGCCGGAACTCAGGCCTTTCGGTCTGCTCACTGTTCCTCGATAGGAGTGGCCCTGGGCTGAGGTCGGTGGAGGGGCTTTTATGGAGAAACCTAGGCCCGCCACACACACACACACACACACACACACACACACACACACACACACACGCACACACACACACATGCACACACGCACACTGTGTCTCACACCTTGAGGCTCACACTGCTGCTTCCCCATACAATCCGGCCTTCACCCACAGTGTCCCATATGCCTTCCTTCCTATCCCCACATCTCAGCTCTCCTGGTCCACATTGCCAGCCTGAGGTTGGCTGGCTTCCCCTTCCAAAATAACTCTTCCAGCCTTGAGGCAGGGGCTGAGGGGCTGGGTGAGCAGGCTTTGATGTCTCTTGGGGTCAGGGACAGTTGAGGCCCACTCAGGACATCAGGCAGTGAAGACAGGCAGGCATTTTGTATGACGGTGGGCGGGAAGTGGGCCTGTGGGTCTGCACAGCTCACCTACTTCCTGTTGTCCTCCCATTTTCCTCCGTAGTCCCTCTACACCTCACCTGGTATGTGGGGAGGGGCCTCTTTTGCCACAGCCTGGGAGGCAGCGGGTCGAAGCCCTGTGGGTGGCGAAAATTAAATAGAGCAACCTGACATTTCAGTCCCGGTTGCCTCTGTGCAAGTTCTGTGTCCTCTCTCTCCCTATAGCCTCAACCTGGGAAAGATGCCAAAGGGAATATTCATCCCTCAACATCCTGCTCCAGATTGACCAGGGATGGATCTAGGGGAAACCAGAGGATGGGATGCTATGGGCTGTGCATGTGTGTGTATGTGCGCATGCGTGTGTATGTGCTGGATTGGGGGCAGGGACTTTGAGAGCGGGATGGGGGTGGGGGTGCCAGAGAGAGAGCAGAACAGGTCTCTACAGAACCTGCCTAGCCAGGGTGGGTGGAGCTGGGTGGGGCAGGCAGGAACCATTCCAGGTTTCAGAAGGGGAACTAGAATATATGTTGTGTGTGTATGTGTGTGTCGGTGCTTCACGTCTGGATGTGGAGGGTGTCCTCCACACTTCCCTGCTTTACACGGAGGGAAATTACAGAAGGTAGAAAGGGGCGTGGCTCTGCCTTCTAGCTCCCTTCTAGTTAGTATCTGGTACCCTGGCAGGAGCCCATCTGTGGGCTCTTCCCCTGCCACTCCGCCCCTCCCCTGCTAGGAGAAGGCTCCTGCCCCCACCCTGGGGCTGTGAGGATGGTGAGCTCATGTCTGGCCCTCCTAGGAGAGTGCTTGGTTAGCAGTACGGGGGGTGGTGCGCCTGGTGCCAGCTCCTGGGCACCCGGTCTTGCAGCCTTCCCACTGGGCCCCCTGAGATCCAGCTGCCTTCTTTGGCCTCTTGGTAGCTAGAGCCACTGGGTCTTTTCTGAGGGCATAAGAGTGGGTCTGGTCTGGAGCCCATTTTTAGACGCAGGGAGGTCCGTGCCCATTCTGGACCTTGGTTCTTTCTGTGATGGGAAGGATCTCGTGTGAGCCCCTTGGGATGGGTGGCTTGTCCGTGTCCAAGGCTGGATGGGGAGGAAGGAAGGAGTGCTGACATTCTTTGGAGTGATGGCTGGTTACATAGGGATTCTTTGCCACTGGACTTAGGCCTGCCTGACCTCTGACCCTTTGTCACTGCTGGGAAGGCTCAGGAGTCAGCAAATCTCCCCCTTCCATTTCTTGTACTGTAGTCTGTTGAAGGACCAAGAGGGAGGCTCACAGAAGAATCTGGTTGCTCTTCAAGAGATTCTTCTTTTTTTTTTTTTTTTTTTTTTTTAAATTTTTTTTTTTTAAAATTCATTTATTTATTATTATGTATACAGCATATGTGACTGCAGGCCAGAAGAGGGCACCAGATCTCACTCAAGGTGGTTGTGAGCCACCATGTGGTTGCTGGGAATTGAACTCAGGACCTCTGGAAGAGCAGTCAGTGCTCTTAACCTCTGAGCCATCTCTCCAGCCCAAGAGATTCTTCTTACACCCAAGTGCTAGCCAATTTTTCCCAGCTGTGAGAGGCCAGAATGGGGGGGCTAGAGAGATGGCCCAGTGGTTAAAGAACACTGGCTGCTCTTGCAGAGGACCAAGATTCAATTCCCAGCACCCACATGGTGGCTCACAACTGCCTATAACTCAAGTTCCAGGGGATCTGGTGCCCTCTTCTGACTTCCGCAGGCATTAGGCATACATTGTGGCAAGTAGATATACAAAACGTGCACACACACACACACACACACACAGCCAGAATGAGCTGTCATGGATGTAGTGACCACTGGCCAGCCATTTCCTTCCCTTCACTGGGCCTTACTGTAAAATTTGGTTGGTTTTAGGGTTCTAATGCTTGCAGCTGCTGAGAGAATTGGGTGCGTCAGTTCACTTTCTCCCAGTGTAGGAGAGAGGAGGGCAGAATCAGAGAGCTCCACCACTTTCTTCAGAGATTCAAATTAGGTGTCTGTATTTTCACCCAGATCAAAAGCCTCGAGTCTCCACTATTGCCTGGCAGGGCCACCTGTGTGGCCTCATCTCTGATGATGTGGGGAAGAACGGAAGAACCTTTGAACCTTTGCCCTGCCTTATGACTGGGTGCTCTGCTCCTGGCCAGATAGCTAAGTAATCCCCTTCCCCAAAGTAGGCACTCAGCACTTGTGAGTGCAACGTAGGGGTCACTCGCCTACCTACAGGTTGTGGTGCAGAAGGCGGGCCAGGCCAGATACAGTAAGACCCTGACTGTTGTGTAGGAATCAGAGGGCTGTAACGGGCAAGGTCCCACAGATGGATGCCTCTTCCAAAGGAATACCTGTCCCTAGGCAGGACCACCCTTCCTGGTCTCTGGCTGAGAAGAGGAAATGGGGCCTACCAGAGACAGACTCCTGTCAAAGCAGTACTTTTAGCTTCTTGTCCACTTTCCCATCCTCATGAAACCCAGATACCTCTGCCCCACAGGCCTGCTGCTTCCAGCCCTGATACCAGTATAGATGCAGAAGAGTCAGGCCCTTTAGAGGTGTGTACTTGGATCGGTCCCTTCCCTACCTTTCTCTGCTGGCTGAGTCACCTGACTCCTGCTTCTTCCCAGATGTTTCCTCAGTGTGTTCTGCCTCATGTCCCCATCCTGGGTCTAAAGACCTGAATTACTCTGCAGGGCTAGAACAATGGCAGAAGGAGGTGGTGACCACAGGCTGGGGCAATGGCAAAAGGAGGTGGTGACCACGGGCTCCTACGCCTGGTCGCTGTCCTGAGCACCTGCCACATGTGGGTTGTGTGTGTGTGTGTGTGTGTGTGTGTGTGTGTGTGTGTGTGCACATGCATGCTTGCACCCATGAAGAACACTTGACTGTCCACTCAGCTGTTCCTGTGAGGGGTGGATGAGGGTCAGTTGGTGCTGGTGTGTATTTTCCCAGCACCCATATCCACCCACGTACCATGTCCCCTAGGGCCTTGCTCTCCCTGCCTCTTGCCTGGCTTTCAGTTTATTTTCTTCTGGAGGCCTCCGATTGTTTCTTGAAGAAACCCGATCCCAAGCTCAGACAAAAGCTGGGGCTGCCAGAGGAGAAACCCCATTCTCTCCCCCTCTGTCCTGTTCCCCCACCTCTATAACCTTTCTCGCTTTGGATGCTGGGTATGGGTTCCAGGACCTGGCTGCCATCACCTAGGCAACAGGGGGCTTTGGTTGCTATGGTGATCAATGTGGGAGAAGCTGGGCAGCCGGGACAAAAGCCCCCACATTCCCCTCAGCCCTCCCCCCAATTCCCTTGGGGTGATACTGAGACACATTCCATTAATTTTATTTCTGAAAGGCCTTTGGAGGGGAGAAGGGTCTCCTTTTTGTGTGGGGCTCTCTCTGCTCCCCCTCTCTCTTCTTTGGCCTCCTTTTAACCCCAGATAATCCATGGCTGGTTTGAGTAGGGGACTAGGTGCCTGTGTTTGTGTCTTGAGGAGTGGGGGGGGGGAGTTGAAAAACAGTGGGGCATATTCGCTTTTTACAGCCTCCCACCCTCTGCCCCTCAGCTGGGTGCAGCTCTCTGCCCTGTGCCAAGTCTAGACTCCGCTCCTGTCTTCTCATCGCTCTGACATTTCTACTTGTTGATCTCATCCACCGATCCCCTCCCCCACCTTGTTTCCTGGGAATGCTGCCCACCCGGGAGACCCTCCAAACCTGATTCTTGAGACTGATTAAGTAAGGGGGGGGACCTCTGCCCATCTTTTTGCCTACCTTTTATCCCTTCCCCAAAGGGACAGCAGGCAAGGGCTTCAGAAGTTGTGGTCCTTTGTGCCCCCTGTGTTTGGTAGTTGAGGGAGGAGCGTGATTTGTTGCATTTTGGGTAAGCCCCCTGTATGCCAGGGCTGTGGGGTTTGTCTTGCTAGGGAGGAAGGGAGGGGGCTCCAGGCTAAGTAACTCAGAACAAAGAGTTGGGAGATGGCTGGGCACCCTGTCTGGCTTGAAATTTATCTGCAAGGGAAACAGAGCGGCTTCACCTCACATCTGGGTGTGTTTGAAGTAGTGGGTCTGCTTGGGGTGTGTGTGTGTGTGTGTGTGTGTGTGTGTGTGTATGTGTGTGTGTGTGTGTGTGTGTATGTGTGCGAGTTCTTTATTTAGTCGTGCGATTTATTTATACCACCGCCTTCCCTAGTTTCAGAGGAAGTGGTTGGGGAGTGGAGTCTGAGGGCTTATTAATTGCTTAACTATTAGTAGCTGTTCAGTCTGTGGAAGCACTTCTCTCATCCCTGTGTTCCTTGCTGCTAACCCCACGAAGGAGGTATCATCATCACCTCTTGTCTTACCAAAGGGCCCATGGGGGCATAAGCACAAAAGGGTCCGTAGCTTGCCCACAGTCACACAGCTCAGCAGTGGGAATGGTGGATTTTAAACCCAGATCTTTGTGTAAATCCCAGGCTCTTTCTGCTGTTGGCTCTGGTAAATAGAGTGCAGGTATTTGGGGATGAGGATGGCGGACGAGAGGGCTCTAGTGTCTGTCTGGATCTAATCCATGGCTCTTCTTTGTCCTTTACTTCACCCCCCCCTTCTCCCCTGCCCAATCTGTCGGTCTCAGAGCCTCCTGGCGAAGTTCAGTTTTTAAGAGGAGAACTAGAAAGAATAGGTGGGAACCACATCAAAAAGTAGTGCAGCCATGACTGTCTAAACCGTATGAAGGAGTAAACCAGTAGAGTGGGTTCCCAGAGGAGGGTAGAGGAACCCGACGTGTAATTTGTACACAGAGGGGTGAACATGGGATGGGCCCTGTTTGTGGCCTTGTTTTAGAGAGGTTCAGGTTTGGGTCGAGGTATACCTGTCCCCAAAGTATGTCTATGACATATTGCTTTTATGTGGGGGTATTGATATCGCTGGCTCATGGATTGACTCTGTTAGGAGGAGAAGTGAATAGATTTCACATTGATTCTTATCTCCCCACAATGGCAGTTTCCCTGACACTCAGACAAGCAAAAGTATTTGTTTACTAGGTGGGTATCGGTTACTTGCTCTGTACCCGCAGGAGGGGAGATGTCTGCAAATATGTATGACTTATCCAGCTCATTCTCCAGTGGTTGGTGATTTAAAGTGGTTGGAAAAAAGATAATTCCACAAAGCAAGTCTGTTTCAGTGCGTAAAACAACGGACTTCTCAGCAGCCTTGGACCTGGTTGTGTTTATTCCTCCATGGAATCCCACTTGTCTTACTGGTGGTCTTGAGATTACACTCAGCTGGCCTCTGGTCTCTCCTTCTCAGCCTCTTTGCTCGATTCCCCCACCCATGTGCGGTTTGGAGTTCTTGAATGCAATGACATAGTCTGCTCTTGAGCTCGGTGCCGTGTCTCTGCCTGTTGCCCGTACCTTCAGTTCACTGGATGCCCAGCTGTCCATTCCTCACAGCCATGAGCTTCAATGCGCGGAGAACAGTACTCACAGCCCTCCTCTCCAAGCTTGCTCTTCCCCACACATGCTCCTTCACAGACAGGATCGTCCCAAATTCTCTGCCTCACCAGAGACTCAGTACCTTCTCCCTTGCTCAGGCTAGTATTTTTTTTTTTAATTATTTTGATTGCATTTTACTTACTTACTTTGTGTGCTTGACTGCGTGTTTTTGTTGCTCCTCACCCCCTCAGCCAGCCTTTCATCACGTCTGATTGGTTCTGTGAGTCAGTCCATTTCTTACCTCTTCCTTGGTTCTGGTGGGCCAAGTCTTCCTGCCGAGGACCTCCTCACTGCTCTCTCCGTTTCTACTTTTTCTTCTTTCCAACCCAAATCTGCACAGCTAAAGAGGCTTCCTGATAACCCTCGAGTAAAACCCGACCTTTCCATTGCCTCCCGCTGCTTCTGTCAGCTTCTCTGGTCCTCAGTTGTTGTTTCTTAAATACACGAGCCCTTTCTTGACTTGGCCTTCCCTCGCGTGGTGTTATTCCTTCCTCTCCTGGGGCCTTTTCTCCCGTTCTTGGGCATCTGTTTGCGTGTCATACACCCCCCCCCCCCCCCCCCCCCCCCCCCCCGTTTCCAGACACTCAGTTTAAAGTTCCTCCGTGGGGCTGGAGATGTCGCTAGCTCAATGGTAGAGTGCTTGCTTAGAACACAGGGCTCCATCCCCAATACATTTGCCTGTTGTCTAATGTCTTGTTCTTTTCCTTCCCCCACACTGACATGGCCGCTTGTGTTTATTGGCTTAGCTGTTCAGTGTACATCTTCCCCTAGACCGTAAACCCAGAGTCAGTTACACCACAGCACCCAGGGCACGGCGAAGTGTGTGTTCACTCAAAGGAGGTGAGTTCGAGAGGTTTTGCTCCATGAGTGAGTGAAGACAGGAGGTGCTCCGGGCACGGTGATGACTTAAGTTAGTGTTGCCAGCATCCGTGGAGAAGATGACCTTGGTTGCTAGAGTAGCTGGGGCTTTTGTGAGAGTTGGGGCTGGGCTCTGAAGGATGGTGGGTGGCACTTGGAAAGTCGGGGAGGAGATGCCGTCCTCTGCTTCAGAGTTAGTCATGCAGGGTAGATGGAGGAGGCTGCCCATCAGCCCAAAGTGGAGGTGGACTTTCATCTTGCTCGTCCAGAGATTTTAGGCGTTTTGGAGGATGCTTCTGTTTGTCTTTTTACTTCACTGTGTTGTCAATCTCCATCCCCCATCTACCCATCAATGAGAGAGAGAGAGAGGAGAGAGAGAGAGAGAGAGAGAGAGAGAGAGAGAGAGAGAGAGAGAGAGAGGAGAGAGAGAGAGATTATGTTTGTGAGCTTGTACGTACATGCATGTGTTACTAAGTCTCCATTTTCCTGGCTGAGAATAGGAAAGTACTGCCTTGATTCTTCCCAATGGGGCCTCCAAGCTGGGTTATTCTGGGCGACCTTCTTGCCCTGGGAGCCTGTGCAGACATTTGCCCCAGCCCTCAATACTAGACACAACTGTGGGTGGAGGGTCTTCCTAGCTGGCAGAGCAGGAGGAGCTGAGCCCATTGGACAGAACAGGAACCCAAAATGAGGAATTCTCAGGTAGTGTCACCCGAGCTTCTGCTGACATTTGGGGATGGTTTTTCTTCTGTGTCCTCACCCATGGGGAGCCCGAGCTACCCCCTTAAGCGACTGCTTTATCTCCTCAGGGATCGTCGCTTGAATTTCTCTGAGATAAGCCCAACTCGTCCAGCAAAATAGAGTCCCTCAGGGTGACAGTTGACTTCCTAAAGGTGCCTCTTGGCCTGAAGAAGCCTGTGCTGAAGGAGGTGGCTGTGGGGCCCCCGAAGAGGCCCCAGCCCGCGGCCCTGGAGCGCTACAAGGCACGGCGTTCGGACGCCATGGACACCGAGTCCCAGTACTCGGGCTATTCTTACAAGTCGGGCCATTCCCGCAGCTCCCGAAAGCATAGGTGGGTCGGGCTGCGTGGTGGAGAGGGGCGTGGTGGAGAGGGGCGGTGTGTGCATGGTGGGGGGATAGGGGCTGAAAGGACCTTGACTCCCCTCTTGACCTTTCGTTCCTGTTTCTCTGGCTTCGTGCTGCAGGGACCGGCGGGACCGACACCGCTCTAAGAGCCGGGATGGGAGCCGTGGAGATAAATCGGTGACGATCCAGGCCCCAGGAGAGCCCCTGCTGGACAATGAGTCCACGAGGGGAGATGAGCGGGTGAGTACTGGGGATCAAGTGGTTTAAATCTGACATTTTCTGATCCCTGGGGGGGGGGGGGGGGGGGGGGGGAGGTGGGGGAGGTGGAGGCCCCGCTAGTCAAGGGAAGGGCTGAGATGGCTATCTGGTCTCCTAGGACAGATACAGGATCCAGAAGGGTATCTTTTTGTTTGTTTTTCAAGACAGGGTCTTTTTTTTTGTAACCCAGGCTAGCCTTGAACTCATTATGTAGCCCAGACTGGTCTTGGGGGTTTTGTTTGTTTGTTTTGTTTTGTTTTGTTTTGTTTTGTGGTGGTGGTTGTTGTTGTAAGACAGGGTCTTACAGTGTAGCCCTGGCTAGAGAACTCACAGAAATCCGTCTGTCCCTGTCCCCTGAGTGCTGGGATTAAAAGTGTGTGCCACTCTGCTTGGCCCCCAGACTGGTTTTAAAATGGAATCCTCCTGTCTCTGACTCCCAAATGTAGGGATTACGGGTGTGCACTACTATTCTTTTCCTTTGTTTAGTGTTCCAAGGTGGGGCCTTGTTGCAGTGGAATTCAGGGAGTTTTAGTGGAAACCCTTTTGGAGGTACTAGCTCCACCCTTTCTCAAGAGGCGGGAGGGGTTTAGCCGAGTAAGGAGCAAGGTCCCTGCCCCTCCACAGCTCCTGTCCGCCAGTCAGGCTGGTACAGGCTGGGGTAGGAGGGAGGGGGTCTTGGTGAGACGACCACCGTTTTCCCTCCAGTCTCAGGTTTACGCCCTCTGCTGTTAGCTTGTGGAACAGCATCGCCTAGGTCCTAGGGAAAAAGAAGAGGTTTTGGGAAGAGTCAATGGAGCCAGGGCAAGAGAGAAGAGGAGAGGCTGAGCAGTTAAGGGAGGTACCTTGGAAAAGAATTCTCCAGGACGGGGGCGCCATTGTGTCTGCCCTGACTTCTGGTTCATTGTATTCCCTGGGTCGAGAGGACAGTAGGCAGAACACAGTCCTGGAATTTAGGAGGGACAGGATTTGCAGTGACACTGAGCTTATCTTATTCCTGTACTTCCTTCCTGGGAGTATCTTAGGCAATGGAGACTCTTAGCTTCTTCTTCCTCAGGGGGATGTGGGGGACCTGTCTGGCATTGATAAGTCTTTTCTTTCCGTGATACCAGGCTTCATAGATTTTTGAAGTGATCTTGAGACATGTTTAGGTCACTGCCTGTTGGGGTGGGGTTCCCTAGGCCTTGATCCTTGAGAGGGTAGACAGTGTATCTGGGGTCACCGGGTGAGGGTGTGGTTCCAGTCCCACAGCCGACAGTGGCCGGCTCTTCTATTTTCTATATTCAGATCAGATTCTTCCTCCATCTGTGGGAGAGGAGATTTCTCAGTTCTCTAGTCACTGGCCCTTCCAGGCTACCCCAGGCTACCCCTTACACTGCACTGTGTGGCTCTGTCCTGTAGCCTGCATCCCCTGGGTTTCAGGGTATGATTTCCATATGTCCAGGCTGGAATGTCCTGGAAGTGAATTGTGGGTAACTGAAAGTCCTGGTGATCTTGGGACTTCCTTTTTTTTTTTTTTTATGGTGAAAAGTATATTTAGAATTAGCCAGCTGGACTCAGTTTAGATGATCCCAATTTTGTTGGCAACATCCAGAGCATCACAGTCAGGAGCCAACCAAACATACGCCTTCTTCTCTCCATCAGGCCTTATGAGGGTGTTGACTTTGGCCACATCAGTGTCATAGAGTGTCTTCCCAGCCTGTTTGATCCGGTGCTTGTTGCCCTTGACATCCACAATGAACACAAGTGTGTTGTTGTCTTCTATCTTCTTCATGGCTGACTCAGTGGTCAGGGGGAATTTGATGATGGCATAGTGGTCGAGCTTGTTTCTCCTGGGCAAGCTCTTTCGAGGATATTTAGGCTGCCTCCGGAGCCGCAGGGTCTTGGGCCACCGGAACGTGGGTGACGTGCGGATCTTCTTCTTTTTGTGGCTGTGGACGCCTTTCAGCACCGCCTTCTCCGCGTTCAAGGCCTTCACTTTGGCTTCGGCCTTGGGAGGGCCAGGAGCTTCCTTCTTCGCTTTTGGCGCCGTCTTGGCGGAAAGCGGGACTTCTTTATAAGATGGTCTCTAGCCACTGCAGAGAGACAGGTTTGGGCGGATCACACTCTGAAGGGCGCCTGAGGAGCCCAGCCTGTCCACTGCTTATCCTCCACAGACCCTATACCCTGGTAATTCAGATGGCCACCCAGCAGAGCTAGCCTCATAGAGACCCACGGTGATCCTGAGTCTACAACCTGTTTCCCATATCCTGTGTAGGTCATTCGCTGGTCTTCCTGTCTCCTCTTCTCCCTTAGTGAGGAAGCTGTAGCAGCTCCTCATGGCTGGAGGATGGATGACTGTTTAAAAAGACCAGGTCTCATTTAGTTCAGGCTGGCCTCTAATCTTTCTTCCCCCACCTCCCTCCCCAAGTGCTAGGATTACAGGCATGTAAAAGCCTCTGGCTTCCCCCCCCACCCCCTCCTTGAGATTGTCTTCTTCTGTGGCCCAGGCTAATCTTGAACTCACACGAATCCTCCTGCTTCGACCTCCTGTGTACTGGGATCATAGTCACACGTTACCTCACTTGACTGGGATAGATGTCTGTTGCTTAGCCTGGCCCTACCACGTGGCCTTCACAAGGGGCGTCTGGCTTCCCCTTCCTGGGCACTCTGCTCTCTGCCCCTGCACGTGGATCCTCGGCTCTTTGAATCTCTGCCCTGTCCATCTGTCTTTGGCTTGTGTTGAAATCATGGATTTCTGCGCAAGCTGGAAGAAACTTAGGAGAGCCCTAAGTTGAAACAGTTCATGGGCGTCTTGTTTAAGTGCGGACTGTGCAGGCTTAGTAATGTGGGGTGGGCCTGTGGTTCTGCGTTTCTCACAGGCTCCCGAGTGATTTCCACGCTGCCGGTCCACAGAGTGCATTCTGACGAGCAGCCCCCAGGGATCATTTAGTTCAGAGTTCCCAATCTTGGCTGAACATTATAATCATCTTGGGAGCCTTTAAAAAAAAAAAAAGGTTGACAAGCAGATCTCACTTTGCATAATTGGTATGTTTTCCAAGCTCCCTGGGTGATTCTAATGTGTGTGGCTGGGGTTGGGAACCACTAATTCAGATGGGCTTTTTGCATGTCACCTGCTGCTGGGGGTCAGCTCGGGGGCCTGTCACTCTCTGGAAAAGAGCGTCTGTTTTGCCTTGGCAAGCCTGTCCTTGGGTCACTGTCACTGCCCAAGCTATTCTTTTGGCAGTGGTCCTGCGCTCCGTTTTCCTGGGGGTCGTCACCGCGCACGCGGCGTTTTCCTCTCTGATCTCCGTGCAGCTCCCCAGGGACTTGAGTTTCAGATTGCAGTTTCTGCAGAGACGAGATGGGCACACGGTGGGGCTCAGTGAGCTCTCTGATGACTGCGTGTGTGTGTGTGTGTGTGTGTGTGTGTGTGTGTGTGTGTGTGTGTGTGTGTGTGTGGTGGTGACCTCCCGTCTTCTTCCCGCAGTGCCCTCTCCCGCCTGCGCCTCTGCCTCCTCTGCTCACCCTTCCCACGCGCGCCTCTGCCTCCTCTGCTCACCCTTCTCTCTTCACCCCCCTTCCCGACTGTAGGACGACAACTGGGGAGAAACAACCACGGTAGTCACAGGCACCTCTGAGCACAGCATCTCCCACGATGACCTCACCCGCATCGCCAAGGACATGGAGGACAGCGTCCCGCTGGATTGTTCGCGCCACTTGGGCGTGGCGGCAGGGGCCTCTCTGGCGCTGCTCTCTTTCCTCACCCCGCTGGCTTTCCTGCTTCTGCCTCCACTGCTGTGGCGGGAGGAGCTGGAGCCGTGTGGGACGGCCTGTGAGGGCCTCTTCATCTCCGTGGCCTTCAAGCTGCTCATCCTGCTGCTGGGCAGCTGGGCTCTGTTCTTCCGCCGGCCCAAGGCCTCGCTGCCCCGAGTCTTCGTGCTGCGCGCCTTGCTCATGGTGCTCGTCTTCCTGCTGGTTATCTCCTACTGGCTCTTCTATGGGGTGCGCATCTTGGATGCCCGGGAGCGCAGCTACCAGGGCGTGGTGCAGTTTGCTGTTTCGCTAGTGGATGCCCTGCTCTTCGTGCACTACCTGGCTGTCGTGCTGCTGGAGCTACGCCAGCTCCAGCCCCAGTTCACGCTCAAGGTCGTGCGATCGACAGATGGGGCCAGCCGCTTCTACAATGTCGGCCATCTCAGGTAGGAGTGCGCGGCAGCAGGTGGGACTTGCTGAGGACAAAGAGGAGACCTTGACAGGGATTGGGCGGGAGGGAGGGTGTGGTGGTGGTGGGGACAGTAAGTGATGGGTTAGAAGGGGCTGGGTGGAAGGGAGTTTGCACACAGCAAGAGAGTTCAGTGGTATTTTCAGCCTAACAGCAAAGCCATACGTAGGATTGTGGGCAAGATGCCGGTGGGAGTTGTGAGCTCAGGAGTGAAAGGCAATTCAAAATCAGGTATCTTAGAGGAGGATGGACCAAAGGGGAGAGAGGTCCAAACAGAAGGTTTCTAACCTTTTCTTGGAGGCCCAGCTTCCCGTGAGTAGTCAGTGACTGCTACTGAGATGAGCTGGCCAGAGGATGGACCGGCAGAGGGAGAGATAGAAAGTCACCTCCCACCAGGCTTGTGGGCAGGATGTCTCCCTCCCTCCCCTTGGCTGTGCAGAGCATCAGTGGCACCTCCCAGGTCCTGTCAGTAACCTTGGGAGAATGTTGGAGGGGGTTGAGGAGATCTTTGGCTGGGGCCCTTTTACCTCTGGGCTTCAGCATGGTAGGAAATGACTAGCAGGCCCAGCCTGGGGCAAGGTTAGGGACCTGGTAAGTAGACCTCAGGCTTGAGCCAGGCTTCCTGGAAGCAGCTTGTCCCTGTCATGTGTCCTCTCCAGCCCTGCCGACCTGCCCTGATGTGTCCCTTCCCCTGCGCCCCTTGTCTGTCCCTCCTCCCCCCACCTCCTGCCGTCTCCCCAACAGCATCCAGCGAGTGGCAGTGTGGATCCTGGAGAAGTATTACCATGACTTCCCTGTCTACAACCCCGCCCTCCTCAACCTGCCCAAGTCCGTCCTGGCCAAGAAAGTGTCTGGCTTCAAGGTGTATTCTCTCGGAGAGGGTGAGCGGCCCTGCTCCTCCGCCCCTCCTGGCCTCTCCCTAAGCAGGACTCCACGATACTTCCCGTGCCTTTTCCTTTCTCTGGCCTGTGTCCCAGCCCTCTCTCTCTGTTCTGTCATTTCCCTTGACTTCAGGTAGCTAGCTGGTCTTAGCTGCTGATCCTTTTTTACGCCACGGTGTGGCCCCCGGTTTAGTGCCTGCTGTCTTCTCACAGCCCTGGTCTCTACCCTTTGGCCCTGAGCTGCAAAGCTTCCTGCAGCAGGAGGCTTCTGTGCAGGACTCCTGCCCTTCCGATGCCTTCCTGGTTGCTTCCCTGCCGTTTCTCCCAGAGGTGGCCAGGAGGGCTGGGACTGGGAGGTGGTGGGGACACATCCTCTGGATGTGCCAGGCCATTTTCCCAGAGCTCCAACGACGTGCAGAGGGCTGCACTCTTTTTTTTCTTTTTCTTTTTTCTTTTTTGACCATCTCCTCTGTCCTGATCCTGTGTAGAGAACAGCACCAATAACTCCACTGGCCAGTCAAGGGCTGTGATCGCGGCAGCGGCGCGGAGGCGGGACAACAGCCACAACGAGTATTACTATGAGGAGGCCGAGCATGAGCGCAGAGTGCGGAAGCGCAGGGCCAGGTGGGTACCCGCGGTGTGAGTTCAGGGCTTGGTGAGTACCTGAGGGAGGGCAAGAGCCAATAGAATGGGGGGGACGGCGGCGGTGCCTATGCGGTGAACTGGGGAGAGGAAGCCCAAGAGGCGCTTATACCTGCCCGAAATGGAAGAGGGATGATACAAGTTTTGCGTATTCGTTTTCTGCGTATTCGTTTTCTAGCGCTTCCGTGGCTGATTACCACAGACTCAGCAGCGTTAAAACAGCACGTTTGTTATTGCTCTGTTCCACGGGTCAGGTTCAGGTTGGCTGGGCCATCTGCTTGGACCTTGAAGGCTAAAAGGACCTCGAAGGCTAAAATCTGTACAACTCTCATCCGAGCCCGGGCTTCTCTTCCAAGCTCCCTGGCTTTTGATGGAATCATTTCATGTCATGCTTCCCCACAGTTTCCAGCTTTTTCTAACAGGAGCCTGCTCTTTCTGACTTTTGCTACCTACAGGGAAGACTGGTTTTCAGGCCCCAAAGGATATATATAATATATATATATATAATATATATATTATATATATATTATATATATATATATTTATTTATTCATTTTTTTGTGTGTGTGTGCACACATGTGCGCGCATGTATGTGGAGGCCAGAGGACAACCTGGGCTATTGTTCCTCAGGTGTCATCCGCTTGGTGTTTTGAGATGGTCTCTTCATTGCTCTGGAGCTCACCAAGTAGGTTAGACTAAGCTGGCTGGCCCCCAAGTCCCAGGAATCCGCCGGTCTCTGCTTCCCTGGTGCTGGGATTAAAAGTACAGGCCATTGTACTTCGATCTTTTTGTTGTTGTTGTTGTTGTTTGTTTTGAGACAGGGTCTTACTATGTAACCCTGGCTGTCCTGGAACTTACTAGGTAGCTCAGGTTGGCCTCAAACTCATAGAGATCTTGGTCCTCTCAAGAGCTGGGATTAAAGGTGTGTGTCCCACCACGCCTGGCCTCTTCGGGTTAATTCTTAAACCCTGTCTTTAATTTTCCCTTTGTCGTAAGAACTTAAATTGTACCCGAAGACTCTTTTCTCAATGCCTGCTGTTACCAGGTTCCACCTGGAGCTTCCCGGATTTCACTGGAGAAAAGAGGAGCAGAAATACGGGGCTAGAACATCCACCCTGCCCTCTCCCCACTTTCCTTATCTAGGTGTCGGGGGCAGAGAGACAGCCCCGTCTTGTCCCCTGGAGGACGAAGACCACCGGTTCTAATTCTGTGACATTTCCTGTTGTTGGAAAGAAACCAGTGATGGCCCCTTTGCCATTTCCCCCTGACTAGGCTCTTGGATATCATGGCCTGCCTCTGTCACTCCTGGCGCATGGGTTTATTTCCTCTTCTGTTACCTTGCTGGTAGCTGGTAGGAAACTTAGGTTCACCTGAAACATAAAGATCTTTTCAGAAGAAACTCTACTAATGGAGGCAAAAGGATGCACAGAAACAGGACATGCAGACAGATGGCATGTACTAGCCCGGAGTCCCATCCTCAGCTCGTTGAAGGTCCTGAGGTGCCTGGGTTCTTGGCTATAGGCCTCACATCCATTCTTTTTTTTTTTTTTTTTTTTTTTTTTTTTTTTTAAGATTTATTTATTTATTGCGTATACAGCATGTGTCCCTGCAGGCCAGAAGGGGGCACCAGATCTCGTTACAGATGGTTGTGAGCCACCATGTGCTTGCTGGGAATTGAACTCAGGACCTCTGGAAGAGCAGTCAGTGCTCTTAACCTCTGAGCCACCTCTCCAGTCCCCTCACATCCATTCTTATCCCGTCTCTTGAGGCCAGTCCTGCTCTTAGGTCGGTGGGTTTTATTTTGGGTTTTGGACTTAGAGTGCAGAACACCTTCTCACTGTCCTCAGCTCTTACCACCTCGTGGTCACAGTTCCTTCAGTCTTTCTTCATCGACTTGAATCTAGTTTGAGTTCCTTAAAAACCTGTGTTTTTGAACAAGTGGTGTGTGGGTTTGTGTGGCTCTGTGCTGTTAGTGTAAATGGACTTTTTTTTTTTTTTTTTGAGATAAAGTCATCTGTGTAGCCTTGGCTGGCCTCGAACTCGTTATGCAGACGGGCTGACCTCGAACTCGTACACGTCCTCCTCCCGCTAAACTGACTTCTTTCTTCTTCCTCTTTAATGTGTTGTGCGGTTCACCCATGTGCTCTGTATGTCCCTCTCGTCACGTGTTACTGCTGCACGGTAGTTCACAGAATGCCCCTGACTTCCTATCCAGTGTTGGGATTATAGTTATCTTCCATTTTGATGAAGAAGCATCTTACTAAGGTTTTATTATTAATTTTTAAAAATAAAAAAATTATTTTATGTGTATTATTGTTTTGCCTGCAGGTATCTGTACTGTGTGTGTGTGCCTGATGCCCAGGGAGGTAGAAAAGGGCATGGGATCCCTTGGACCTGGAGTTACATACAGCTGTGAACTGTCATGTGGGTGGGTGCTAGGAACGGAACCTGGGTCCTCTGCAGGAGCAGCTGGTGCTCTTAACCACTGAGCCCTCTCTCCAGCCCCTTCTTAATGTTTAGTTTGTATCTCTGCTTGCCTAGTGTCTTTCGGATTTCATATGAATCTTTTACTGCTTTGGTCTGATTGTATTTGAATGTACTTAGTTTTTTGAGACCGAGTCTCGCTAAGTAGACCATCCTGGTCTGGAACCTGTGATTCTCCGGCCTCTGCTTACCAAGTGCTGGGATTATAGGAATGTGTCATCATTCCTGGCTCCTTTGCCCACTAAAAAAAACAAAAACAAAAACAACAACAAAAAAACCCCATTACGTTTATTTATTTATGTGTCCGTGTAGCCATGCGCACTTCAGAGTTCACCTGGAGGCTCAAGGACAGCGTCTGGTGTGGTTTTCCTTCTTGCACCATGTAGGTCCAGGGTGTAGAACTCAGGTTGTCGCGCTTGGTGGCAAGTCCCTTTCCCTGCTGAACTATCTGCTCCACCTCCTCTTTTATTCCTTATTTTTTAAAGGTCCTTACCCCTTCCTTCCTGATTCGTAGTGAATTCTTTGTGTGATGCCAGTTCTTGGTTGACTTTAGCTGCTGCAGGTATCTCCCCCGCGCCACCCCCGCAGCCCCCAGTCAGGTGTCAGCATTGCCTCTGCTACTGTGGCTGAATAGAAATGTCATTTCCAGGGCGAGGAGTAAAGCCGGATGACCTGAGTTCAATTCCCAGAATCCGTATGTTGGAGAGAGAGAAGGGATTTCTCAAACCTCCACAGAAGGCATGTGTATGCCCACACACACACATAAATAACTTTAATAGTAATAATAAATAATAATAATGATGATGATAATGATATGACGGTAATTTGCCATTTCCCTTTACTCATATCTATTATTTTTTATGTAGTGTGGTGTGGTGTGGAGTCTTTTCCTTGGGTCTGTCGGGATACTCGGCCTTTTTGGTAGCGTAGTTCTAGGTGTCTTTCCGGATTTGATGCTAGGCCTGTTCACTTTAAGTCCCTAGTCTGAGTCCACTGAGTTCTACAACTGTTTCTTGTTGCCCGTGAGGAAAACACCGCTCCCATCTCTTAATCCCCAGGCACTTGGCTCCAAGTAGGCTTCTGTTACTTCAGGGAGAGCAGAGAGGCCTGACCTCCCTCTGAGGGCTGCAGCCAGCAGCAGCAGTCTGGTGGGTAAGAGGGTAGAGTGAGCGGTGGGCATCTGGTCCAGATACTGCCTGTCCCCTAGGCTCGTGGTGGCGGTGGAGGAGGCCTTCACTCACATTAAGCGGCTGCAGGAAGAGGAGCAGAAGAACCCCAGGGAGGTGATGGATCCCCGGGAAGCAGCCCAAGCCATCTTTGCGTCCATGGCCCGTGCCATGCAGAAGTACCTCCGCACCACCAAGCAGCAGCCTTACCACACCATGGAGAGCATCCTGCAGCACCTGGAGTTCTGCATCACTCACGACATGACACCCAAGGTAGGCCTGCTGCTCCGCGGCCTTCCTCCGCGTCCACCTTCTAGTTCTTTGGGTTGGTGGCCGCCGTGTCCCCTGCGTCTCTCCTCACTCACCTTCCCTCTCGTGGGCCCACCCTCACCTCTTCTCTGTAACCTCTTTTCTCGTCCCCACCCCGTCCATCCTGTCTGTGTGGAGCCGAGGAGGCGAGGGCAGGCTTCTGAACCGTTTGAGGGGATGTCAGAGGCCTGTTTCTCAGCTTCAGAAGGCTCTGGAATGTTGTCTGCATTCCGAGTCTCACCTTGCCCTTCCTGTCCCCTTCACCCCCGAAGTGAGCTTTTGCCTGGGCTTACTGTTAGCTGTGGGCGACCTCCACCCAGTTGCCAGCTTCCTAGAATGGCTTTCGCGGATCGAGCCTTCTTTGCTGAGCGGGTGATAAAGAGGCTGGGAATGGAGCTCAGTGCTAGATCAGGCCTGAGCTCCTGATTTTAATGTACACACACACACACACACACACACACACACACACACACACACACAGTTGCACTTGAATCTTGCCTTGGCCCACATCCCTCTGAGTGCAGACCTATGTGGCTCTAATCATATAACCTGTATGGAAGGGAAGGAAGACAGAAGGAAGGAAGAGGGTTGAGCTGCCCCGGGCACGGCCTGGTGCAAGGAACAGAGTAAAGGATGGGAGAGAATTCTGGTCCTGACTGGAGCTATATCACTATATTCTGTGCATGCCCTCCTCCTCGTCTATACATCAAGCTCCCCTCAGGCCCTCTTCTGCTCTCGCAGTTGAAGATACTTGTTCATGTGTGTAGAATGAGCTCCAGAGCCTCTTGGCTATCCTTGAAAGCTGTGTGTTGTCAGAGGATGAAGGGTGGGTGGGTGGATGGGTGGGTGGGTGGGTGAGATGCCCAGGCAGTGTCTTCTCCCCTCCTCAGGCCTTCCTGGAGCGATATTTGGCAGCTGGACCCACCATCCAGTACCACAAGGAACGTTGGCTGGCCAAACAGTGGACCTTGGTGAGCGAGGAGCCGGTGACCAATGGGCTTAAGGACGGCATCGTTTTCCTCTTAAAACGCCAGGACTTCAGCCTGGTGGTGAGCACCAAGAAGGTGCCGTTCTTCAAACTCTCTGAGGAATTTGTGGATCCCAAGTCACATAAGTTTGTCATGCGGCTGCAGTCGGAGACCTCCGTGTGACTTTGCAACAGCAGGGGAGGGGGACATGGGGGTTCCTGCGGAGTGGGGAGTGGCTTGGATCTCTGGCCCTGTCACGTTTCTGCCACCCTCCTTCCTCTTGCTCTTGCTTTTTTTTTTTTTTTTTTTTTTTTTTTTTTACTTGAATTAACTTATCCTGTATCGGGTCTCCACCCCTCTTCCTCAGTTTCCCCATGTAAATCTGGAGAGACCACCTTGCTTTAACAATATCTGGGAACCACCCTGCCCCCGCCCCCCAAGTTTGTATCACTCCAGGCTCTGCAGGAAACAGTGCCTCCTACCCCGTTCTTCCCCTGGGTGGAAGTCCCTCCTCAAAGGGCGCGCGCAGGGCCTTCTTGATTGTACCCTAACCCTGAGCTCCCACTTAACAGACCTAAGTTCTTAGAGCCCCGCTCTTCAGTGGCCCCTAATAGGGGTTCTCTGGGGGGGGCCCAGCTTTGACCCCAGAGACCCGTGGTGCCAAACTCCTGCGGGACAGCAGCTAGCCCTATTCCCTGTCCCCACCCGTAGCCCTGAGTCCCTGGGCAAGGATGCACCCGTGACAGTAGTCCCAGAGTTAGGAATCTCCCTGCAGTGCCACTTGCTTCCCACTGTTCCAGCTGTACTTTCCTGGTCCACACACACACACCACACACACACAGAACAAGCGGGGAGCCCCATCTGCCACCCAGGAGTCTTCACTGCTATTTCTGACCTGTGTGATCACGTGAACATAGGCAAACTGAGGTGGAACCTTTTTGACCACTTGACCAGGGCTGTGGGGGAGGTCCAGTATTTCTGTTTCGGACAACTCCTGAGGGGAAGGGCGGGATAGACCCCTGAAGTTGGAGAGACCCTTGTCATTGACCCCCATCCCTCTGAACCCACTGACCCTTACCCCTCTCCGCTGTTCATTCCCACCCTTACCTGTGAAGGATGCATGTCAACTTCTGTAGGGACTTTATGACATGCAGACCCTGACCAACCCTATGGTTGGTTTTAAGACATTTTTCTTTTCTGCACCAGCTACCCCAGTCCTGTTGACTTGCAGCTCTAGAGACCTGTGGCCTCGTCTCTTCTTAGGGGAGGGGCCAGCAGCTCCTTCTCATCCCCTGCCTTAAGTCCAGTTCTTTGCCTCAGGGGTCTCTTTTCCATGGCCTTCCAGGGTCCCATCCTCTTCTCTCCCTGCCTCTCTTTCTAGGCTCTATATTGGGGCAAGGGACCAGGATTCCTGCCTTTTGTGGGTCTTAGCTCCTCACCCCATTTTAACTAACAGCCTTTGCACCGAATCTGACTCTCAGTAATTTAAAGCTCATTTTGAGCAGGATTCACTAACCCTCAAATGGATATTTTTCAGAGCAAATTTGAGCCTTTAAATTAGATGCCTTTAAATCATTTTTTATCACAAGGAATAGAAATAGAAAATACCCACATCCATCCTTCCGGCATCCATGTGGAGGATGGTTCTGATGGCTGGGATGGAGCAGTGCTCCTGGGCCACTTCTCTAAACAACTCCCAAAGCCCCTGCATAGGTCCTTCACTTCCCTGGAAATTTTGCTGGCATTTTCTGTGCAAAGCACAAACTGAGATGAGGTACCCATTGATCCCGCTATGAGGCTGTGGGATCCACAGCCCACCCACCCCTTACAAAGGGGCTCATCCATTAGTGCTTACTTTATTCCCACAGGGATGGGCTTTTGGAGCTGACTTAGGCAGGGCCTCGGGGTTAACCTCCAGGCTGTGGTAGAGGTTCCTGGATAGACTCCAGTGAAATTAGTTTGTACTTGGGTCATGGGAAGGTATCTTTTCTTTAAAAAAAAAAAAAATCAGGTTTCAGAGGAGTCCTTTTTGGGTCACATAAATACCTCACTATCCTGGAAAGCAGAGCCTGGATGGTGATTGGGGTCGCTGCCTTTGTGGGCAAGAATGGGGTGTGGTGTTGGTTTGAGCAGTGGGTGGGGGAGGGCAGAAGGAAAATGTTTGGGATCTTAGTTGATGCCCTAGGTTAGGGGCACAGGAGTGTTTATTTTAAGAACCTGCCATGTTTTTTAATCACTGTGATACTTTCATTCCTTTTCCCTAAATCAAAAAGAAAAAGTTCCCCTGACTCTGTCTAAGCACTAAGGGCTGTGACTAAGAATGGTAGCGTTTTGGTCCTTTGTGTCAGAACTGTGGTATCTTTGTCTACTTTGGTTGTTATTATTTTTTAAAATGTCAGGATGAATTGTCAAGTGTATAGCTGTGTGTGTGTGTGTGTGTGTGTGTGTGTGTGTGTGTGTGTGTGAGAGAGAGAGAGAGAGAGAGAGAGGAGAGGAGAGGTGTGTCAGTGTCTGTGTGTCTATCTCTGTGTGTATGTGTGTCTGTGTGTCTATCTCTGTGTGTATGTGTGTCTGTGTGTCTATCTCTGTGTGTCTGTGTGTCTGTGTGTCTTTTGCTTCTCCAGAATAAGAAGTTGTCTTCATGCTGTGACCTGCTATGGGTGGGCAGCTGACTCAGTCCCTCTGAGCAGTTTCCTCGCCAATCCTGTCCCCACTCACTTGGTTTCTATTCTTCTGCTGTAGGAATGTGCCTACCCAGCCCAACACTGTCACCATAGGGGATGCTGTGCTGGGCTACTTCAGTGCGCCTGTTTCTCTGTCTGTGTGGCATCCTAGCTCATCCCCACTGCACAACTTGGCCTTTGTTTTCATGACCTTGGAGTGCTTACCTCTCTTCCCTCCACAGCAGGACACCGTGCCTCAGTCCTTCACCTACCTCGCCACTCTGTCACTGTCCCCATTGGTCCCTTTCTGGTTTCTCCTAAGTATATGTTCTTGTTCTGTTTTTATTTATGTCCCTCAAGTCTCTCTTTCACGTCTTCCTGCTACTTTCCATCTCTTCCCTTATGCTTTTCTTCCTAGCCACCACAGCATCCCCACTGTAAACCCCGATTAAAGGCAAGGAGGCAGGATTCCTGGGAGGTCCGCACTCCAGATGTCTGTTTCCCGGGGTTTGTGCTTTTCCTCTTGGTTGGGCCTCGCTTTGCCTTGTCCCTTCCTGGTGTCTGTCAGTCTCTTTTCCCTCCCTGTTCTCCCCATGGGGAAACATCTACTGATGGATTCCGTTCTGATGTGTGGTTGTTGTAATTTGTTCTTATGTGTGCAGAGGGAAGGGACTACTTGAATCTCTTCCAAGTGAGATTGTGTAAATGTAGAATTTTCCATTGTTGAATCTAGATTTTTTATTCCCTCTCCCCCATTTCCTTTTCTTTCTTTCTTTTTTTTAAATCTTCTTTCTTTTCTTTCTTTTTTTTTTTTTTTTGGTTACAGAGCTGAGACCTTGTGCATGCATGTAGAAAATTGTAAAATGTAAATTTTTTTTAATATATAAAAAGCTTGTTTTTACAGTTTGCAGTGGATTAAACATTATGGCAATTTTAGGGATTTTTTTTCTTAAACATAGTAACTAAAACTGTACAAATTTTTTTTATATATAAAATAAAGACATTTGACTTTTGTGGGGGTATTCTGTTGCTTTTCTTTTTTCAAAGTGGGAGCTAAAGGTGGTCAAGGAAGAGAGAACATGTATCTGGGCAGTAGGGGGCAGTGTGAGCCTTGTCTTGCCACAGGCTCCAGGCAGCGTGGAGGAGAATGAGGGGAGAAAGGAAACTGCTTGCTGTTAGCCCTGATTCTGAGGGGAGAGAGAGCTGCGAGGGTTAATCTTCTGGGGGTGGTCGTCGAGATGAGGAGGGAGGGATTACTTTCAGCCCGTGTCTTCCCTAGTAAGCCCGTGTGTGCATGGCCTCCAAGTGAAGGACTGGAGTGGGCCGTTTAAACCAGAAAGTGCTGATGTGATGGCGCCTCACATTTCATTTAGAAAAGCCCCCAAACTTCACCCCTGGTTTTATTTAGTTTTAAAAGTTGGAATCCTGGGGCTGGAGAGATGGCTCGGTGTTAAGAGCACCTGTTGCTTGAGTTTGGTTCCCAGCACCTACATTGGCAATAGCTCATAACCACCTCTTAACTCCAGCTCCAGGGGGTCTGGTGCCCTCTTCTGGCCTCTGGGAACTGTACTCATTCATATGTATGTATGTATGTATGTGCTGTGTGGGATGGTCTGTATGTCAAATGTGTTGCTGATTGGTCAATGAATAAATCACTGATTGGCAGTGGCCAGGCAGGAAGTATAGGCGGGACTAACAGAGAGGAAAATTGAGGGAAGTGGAAGGCTGAGTCGGGGAGACACTGCCAGCCGCCATGATGAGAAACAGCATGTAAAGATGCCGGTAAGCCACGAGCCATGTGGCAAAGTATAGATTAATAGAAATGGATTAATTTAAGCTGTAAGAACAGTTAGCAAGAAGCCTGCCACGGCCATACAGTTTGTAACCAAAATAAGTCTCTGTGTTTACTTGATCGGGTTTGAGCGGCTTGGGACTGGCGGGTGAGAGAGATTTGTCCTGACTGTGGGCCAGGCAGAAAAACTCTAGCAACATGTATGTATGTATGTATATGTATATAATTTTTTTTTTTTGAGTCAAGGTTTCTCTGTGTAGCTTTGCACCTTTCCTGGAATTCACTTGGTAGTCCAGGCTGGCTTTGAACTCACAGAGATCCGCCTGCCTCTGCCTCCCGAGTGCTGGGATTAAAGGCGGGCGCCACCACCGCCCGGCATCATTTTTTATATAGATATAAAATCTTTTTTCTCTTTATTTATTCTTCTCTCATGCACTACGTTCCCGACTACAGTTTTCCCCCCCCTCTATTCCTCTCAGTCATGCCCCCCCCCCCTCCCCCCCCCCCCCCCCCCCCCCCCCCCCCGCATCATCACCAGTCCCACTGCTTCTGTTTCCCTTCAGAAAAGAGCAGGCCACCCAGGGATATCAACAGAACACAGTATAATAGGATACAATAAGACTAGGCACAAACCCTCAGATCAAGGCTGTATGAGGCAACCCAGTAGGAGGGAAAAGGTCCCAATTAGGAGATATATAAAAACTCCAAGCTAAACAACCCTAACATATATGCAGAGGACCCATGCAGGCTCTGTGATTGCAGCTGTAGTCTCTATGAGCCCCTATGAGCCCTGCTTAGTTGATTCTGTGGACCATGTTCTCTTGGTGA